AAGCAAATGATATTTTGGAAGGCATATTTTGCTAGTTAGGATTAAAGAATTGCTACTGGTATTTCTGTCTGGAGCTCTGGACCTACATCCAACCCAGCTGAGGGGATGGATGTGACTGAGTGCAGTCCCAGAGGTGCAGCAGTGGGCTGAGCACCCCTGGCCTGGTGCTCATGGATGGGCAGCCTCCTGCTTTTGGTTTTGTCCAGAGAGTTTCTTAGCAGGACATGTAACACAAGTGCATTTCTTTAGAAGCTAAGTGCACAAAAAACCAGTCATTGCTAAGTATGTAAGTCTCCCTCAGCCCAGCAAAAAAGACTGCTTTAGGAACAGCTTGGGAAATAATTGCAGAAGCAAAATAATCAGGTTGTTTTGTCTCTTTTTAGCAATTACTGAGTATTGCTGGAAATATCTGGAATAAAAGAAATACTATGAAATTCTGCTGGCTCCACCCAAGGGAGTTAAAGCATGTTTACTCCGCTGTATCCACTGAGTGGGAGGATTTCTGTGCTACCAGAAACTGCTTGGCACCTCTCTGAACCCAGACCATCTCCAGGAAATCTAGAGCAGGCAGAGGTCAGTTGTACTCCAGCACTCTGCACAATGCTCTCTCATTTCTTACAGAGCACTTGCATCCAGTGGGTTAGTTGGCTCAACCAGAGTTTGGAGAGGGTAACATGACTGAAATTCTTCCTTTTCCCATTTTAGTTCTGCCAGTCCAACAGATGTGGCCATAGCACAGAGCAAGAAATACAGCCCGGGTCTGTAATTCCAGTATAGCTTCCAAGTATAAACACTTCCCTACTTGTGCTTACAGGTACTGACCAGTCTTTGCAGTGCTGATTTTAATCGCTTTACCGCCCTCGACTGAAAGGCCGATGACAAGGCTGGAGATGTTGAGGACCATCAGGGGAAGATGGAAGAGTCTCTTCTCCTGTGCACAATGAAAAAACCTTCTCAACTTCACAGTTTAGCGCCTCCCCCAGCCCCAATTTAGATTTTGCATCCTTAGTCCTGCCAGTAGGAAAAAGGTGTTAACCCTCTCCCCTAAGAACTTGTCCAGCACAAGGTTCATTTGCTAGCAGCTGCACTGCAAACCACACTCAGTTATTGGTTCATCTACTCAGCTTTCAAGGATTGGCACTGAAGCTGAAGGGGCAACAACTGAGACAACGGAACAGTGATTTTAGAAATGCTGAAACAGCGATTTCAGAAATGCAGACATGGTGAACCTGCACAACTCCCAGCCTTGTGAGAACTGTGGAGCTCAGAGGTCAACACAAGAGACTGGCTAGTCAAGCTAATGGATACATCCACAGTTGCACCAAACAGAGTAAGAGAGTATTCTAGAAGAAAAAAGGTTTCCTGTTTTAAAAGGTAAACCAAACTGGAGTAGAAAGTTGCAACAGTCTTCCCCCAACAGAGCAGTTACATTTTAATTAACCATTCTATAGCTTCTTGCAGTTCAAACGTGCAGCACCACTTCTTGGTCACTCAGGGACAGGATACCAGACAAAGCAATCCACTGACATCATTAACAATCCCTACCACACCATCTTCCACAGATATTTGGATGCACTGTTTAGGTCCTCCATCCAAGTGCCTTTTTCTCAGCATCAGTTACAGCTGGACTGGGCAGAGATCAGATGTACACCAGGAATGTTCCCTACATTCATCAGGAGTTCTGAAGTCCACAGCAGGGTCAGCAACAATCTGTGGCACACCACTAAGTCCAGGAATAGATTGTCATTTCTACAAGAATACAAAATAGCTTGTAAAATCAATATGTAACACTGTATATATGCATGAATATAAAAATAAACCACACCATCAATATGTAAAACTTCACAACAATGATGAAAACAGTTTCCTTCTCAGCGGTCTTCGGTGTTGATGAGCTGGTTCTCGTTGTCATACCCATCAGGCAGATAAGCCTTCCGGAGCTGGTCTGACTTGGGTATGGAGCTGCCGTTCTTAACGTGGCGGGACAGGAAGGCTCTCACAGAGGGATGATCAGCCTTCTCCAGGGGGATGTTGGCTTCCAGGCACATTTTCACAAAGTCCTGGATGACACTGGATTTCTCTGTCTGGGCAGTGCTGTTGCACTGCAGGGAGGCAGTGAGAGTCCTCTGCTTCTTCCTGACGTTCTGCTCCTCGAACTCCGCCTTTCTCTTGGTGTGTGTTTTGGACTTGAGGTGGTCGTTGATGGCAGATTTTCGGACGTGGTTCAGGACCACGTTGCAGGAAGTGCAGAAGAGTTTCCCTCCATCCTCGTGGAGCTCATTCCCAAACTCAGTCACACGGTCCTGAGGGGTCACGTACAGGGCAGTCTTGGAGCGGTTACGGGACGGGGCGGATTTCACTCCAAACCGCTCCATTGCTGCCTCCAACAAGGCACAGCTGGAAAAAACCAAACTGTGGTCAAAGTGTGCTGAGGATTTCAACCAAACGCTCCTGGATAGAGTCTATTCAACACCCAATACAGCATTTATTGGCATCTATAAGATAATTAATTCCATGGAAGATACACATGTGAAATTGTTACTGAAAGGAAGGCTCTTCATTTAAAAATCTAAAGAAATTGGAGAATGAAGTTCCTTATGGGTCAGAGGAAAAGACTTTCGGTTTCTACAACTACAAAGCTCAGAACTGAGAATCCTCAGAACTCGGAACCCTCAAACTCACAGCCCTCCTAACTCACAGCCCTCAGAACTCTCAGAACCCTCCAAACCAAATCTGTTCATCACTTAAAGTCAAATAGAAAGGCTTTCTGCTTTTCTTGAAGACTCTTTTTTATACTTTACACTTCAGGACAAAGGATGCTTTCTTCTTAGTATTTCCAACATATTTGACGGTTTTCATTAAGTTCAGTCAGTAGTTTTCTGTTTATTTCCTGAAAGTATTTATTCTGTTAGCAGTTTAGTAAAAAATTCATTTATTTATCAGAAATTTAGTTGTCCAAATGGCAGGCAAAAAGACAATTACTGTCACTTACAAAAGCCCCTTTTCCCCCCAAACAAAAAAAAAGAAACCAAACCCAAACTAAACAAAACCAAACATGAGCTTTGTCAGCACTTGTTTGGAAACAGCCCTTGCTTTTACTCCAGCTCAAACCACAACTATTAGAGTGAACCTTAACTTGGAGCCTAAAGCTCCAAGGGGCAGCCTAATGGGAACAGAAAATTGCATATATTTCAATGTAAAATAAGAAACTGTGTTTTCAAACATAACAACTTCTCTGAGGGAGGTCACTGATAGCTAAGAGAGTTGGACACTTTTAACATCACTCTAAATTACACTTTATGTTGTCAAAGCAGGCAATGACCTACTCAAGTGCACCAAAAATCAAACAAGACCTGTATGTCTTGGAGTAGCTGTGTAAATCTCAGCTAAGATAATTTAAGTCCTTTCAAAAATAAAATCAAGTAATAGCTCTGTTCAGGTTTAAAGTTTTCTGACCAAAATAAATGGTCATCACACTAACTACCCATTTCCTTAAAAAAAAAAAAAAGGCAACAAGTGTTAGAATCTTCAAAGTATTTTCCAAAATATATATGTGTCTCTCTATATATATTAATTTTTTTTTTAAGAAATACAATAAATTGCCTGGCCATTTACCTATAGGCATGATGTACTTTCTCTGCACTTGTTTTGTTACAGTTTGCTGTTGCAAGGTTTTTAAAAAAGACAGAATTCAGTTTCTGCTGCATTTTTGCTTGTCCTGGAACTGAAGGAATAGATACTTCAGTCTTCAAAATTGTCTTTTAAAAAAAAACAAAACCATTGCTACATGGAAAAGATTACGATCTTCTGAAGTAAAAGAGACAAAGACCTTGGTATCAGCCACTCTCCTAATTATTTTTTTTGCTCTGTTTGCTACTTCCCTGAACTGTAAGCCTTGACTAGTACAGCACCATGCTACACAATAAATAATTCAGTCTTTAAAATTATCTCTTTTTAAACCCTTGTTACATGAAGAGATTACAACCTTCAAAAAAAAAAAAGGGGGGCAAAGATCTTGGTAATAACAACTCTCCTAGTTAATTTTTTTTGCTGTGTTTGCTACTTTCTATGACTGTAAGTCTTGACTTGTACAGCTCTATAAAGACACACTACAGACACACTACAAAGATAAACAACCTTTTTCCAGCATCAATGTAACTTTGTTGGTTTTTTTTCTAAATCATGCCCACGAGTTTCCTAAGCAACAATTTTGTGAAATCAAGCAAAAAACGGGCCTTGACCCGACAAACTTGTTGCTTTGGCTTCTGAAACGACGGCAGAAATCCCCCACCAAACCAGGTGTTTGCACTTCATCAATACCCGCAGGGATCCCGCGAGCGGTGACACACAGGATTCTGGGTGGGTCTGTTTTTCCTGGAGCCGGAACTGGACGCGTTCATCCCTCAGGGATCGCTCCCCGGGGTCACACCCGCCCCTCCCTCTCCGCCCCGGGCTCCGCGGAGGGCCCGGCCCGGCGCTCCCCGAGCCGCGCAGGTGCGGCCGAATGTTGGCCGGGGATGCCCCGCAGCCCGTTTCGCAGAGCCTGGTGCCCCCCCCCCGCCGTGCCGGGCCCCGTTACCCTCCGTCCCCGCCGCCCCCGGCGCCGCCGCCGCCGCCGATCCCGCCGAGGCCCCGCCGGGCCGGGCCCGCCGCTCCACCACCCACACGCACGGCCCCGCCCACGGCGCCTCGAGCCACGCTCTGATTGGCTCTGCGCGCTGATGGGCGGCGCTTTCGCCCAATGAGAAGCGGGCGGGCGGGCACGATGGAGGCGGGGCGGGGCGCTGTGGCAGGGGTGAGGCGCGACTGACGGGTCTCTCAGCCAATGGACGGAGTGAGGCTGAGAGCTTCATGCCAATCGCGGAGGGAAGGCGGGGCCGCGCGTTGTGGCCCGCGCTGACGGACAGCTGAGTTAACCAATGAGAGGGCAGAGGGGCGGCCTTTCCGGCGGGGCGGGGCGGGGCCGGCGCGCTCGGTACGCGCGGGGCGGCGGGGCCGCCATGGCGGAAGACGAGAGTGACCAGGAGTCCGAGCGCCTCAGCGAGGAGCTGGAGGCGCTGGCGGCCCCCGGGCTGCCCCCAGGGCTGCCCGCGCTCCTCCGCAGCCAGTACTATTGCCGACGCTTCTGCCAGGTCAGCGCCCGGCAGCCGGGAGGGCGGGGGGGGGACGCGGCCGGGCCTGCGCGGGTGAAGGGGCGGCCGGGGTGATGGCGAGGCCTGAGGAGGGGCGGGGAGGCTCCCGGGAAGAGGGAAGGGCAGGGAAGGGGAGGGAAAGCGGCTCCGGGAGCGGGGCAGGGAGAGGCGGGGGCGGCTGCCGGGACACGTGTGGGGCTGCGGGCAAAACCGCCCCGGGAGGGCCTCGGGAACGGCCCCCGTACCTGAATTAAACCAGGCAATTTTATTACTATTTTTATTGTTATTATTTTTATTTTTTCCCGTTTGAAAGCAGCGTTTTCTCGGTACGGGCCCCGGAATTCCTGTACTCCTTGCAACCCCCAAAGTAACGAGCAACAACAGGTTGCTTTTCCCTTAGTTGTTCCACCAACACCTGCTAATGGAACGTTGGTTAGCCTGGGTCAATATAATAGGGATTATTTTAGGTGGAATGTAATAGGGATTATTTTATATAAGCTATAATGGAGGTTGTTTTACATGAAATAAAATAGAGGTTATTTTATGTAGGATATAATACGGGTTATTTTATATGGAATGTATTAGAGGGTATTGTATATAGAATTGCTTCAATCTATTACCTTTTTGGCTGCCACGATTGTTTTCTGCAATTTAAATGAATATGTTTCTATGTCGTTGTTATGTTTCTGTTTTATAACGTTCAGTGAAACATCTGTTTGAAGTATCTTTTACTGAGGTATGTGCTTAATGATCTTGGGTGGTTTAGTAAGCTCGGGTGCTGCTCCCTAAGTCCACAGGTTGCTTTTTGAGGTTGCTGTTCCTTTTATTAAATTTTCTTCTCTCCAGTGATCTCTGAGAACTTGGACGTTTGAGGGAAAATTGTGGAGCCAGTGAAAGGAGAAGCAAATGTTTGTGGAAGTGTGGTGTGAACTGCACTTGAGAGGAAGCACAGCCATGTTTGTTTACGTTGGCTGGTTGGAAAGACATTTAATTCTGCTGGACACTCAGACTTTTATCTTAAATTTTTCTGTCTGTGCTTAATGTGTGTTCCTTAAGGAGGAAGTGCAGGCAGGCAGGGTAATACCTTCACATCCTAATACCAATCCCATCTCCCAGAAGAAACTAGGAATTAGTAGGGAATAGCAGAGGACAAGACCAGGGGGAAGAATTTTCTTGTAAAATAGTTTTATCCCAGTTATTACTGGTAGAGTACCTAAAACATTTGACCTTGACTTCTCCTGCAGTTTCTTTCCTGTAGAAATGAGGCCAAACCCTCTCCCCTACTTTGGTTTTGCTTTGAGTTGATGAACTCTCCACGTGGGCAGCCAATGCTCTGAGCATGGAAAGGCTCTGCTTCTCTTCTCTTCAAGATTTCTTTTTAACAATCCACAGCTTAAATGATCCTGATGAAAGTCGGTTAAATGAATGTATTAACACTTTGTCTGCAGGGATTGTTTTTGTTTGCTTGGTTTAAATTTGGCCTGGTGTGATCAGCAGTCATGTGCTTGCTCAGTATAATCTGAGTTTTGCTTAAGCATGTTTTTAGTGATGGATTTTTCTGCTGCTTTAGCTACATAAATGCAAGATCTTAAGGGGTGTGTTGCTGGGAAAAGCTGTGTGACATTTGTGGTTTGACAACAAATGAAGTTGTTGTCAAAGAGAACAACTTACCCTCATGAGATTGACAGTGTGGAATTATTTTGGCCCATATACCCCTGTACATAGAGAGGGCTGACAGAACCCTCAGCCTATTTAATGAGGAAAGAAGCATATTCATATTATTTTTCTTCAGAAAATATCATGACGTTTAGGTCATCTCTTTCTCATAACTTTTGTTGGGGGGAAAAAAAAACATCTCCCTTAAACACTGCGTTGCTTTATTAGATTTAAATTAATTTCTCCCCTCCTCAGATGTCTTTTTAATGCAGTTTTTCCTTTAGATATAGTTTTATCAGAGCCTGATGCTTTGTACTTGTGTATCCAGATCTGAAGGACACATTTGGCTGTTGTGCAGATTTCCACCTCATTCCTCTCTGCACCGATAACAGAGTTTTGCTTGTCTTAATAGTCATTTGGCACTTCCAAATGTCCCAGTTTGCCTCCTTTTTTTGTCAGAATGCAGTTGTAGAAATAGTTGCTTAGTGATGGGTTTGAACCACCCAAAAGGATAATTTTTATTTTTAGAGTACCATCCCATTAAATCATATGGGCCATTAAATCATAGTGAAGTTTTTTGGAGTATTGCAGCTCAACTTCTTTCAGATAAATTAAATAACAATAAAAGAAGAAGGCAGGATTATCAGAGCATTTTGCATAAATATACAATGTAATGATACAGGATCAATTGGAATGTGGCATCTCTAAAGCCATGTGTAGTTTGGGGATTTATGTGTTGTAGGTGTTCATGGTCACACAGAGCCATCCCAGCCTGAATCTTTCAAAGCAAAATGGAATAAAATGTTTTCTTAGGTTGTTCTTTGGGATTGATGACATGCAGAAAGAAAAAGAAAATCAACATTTCTGTGGCTGGAGCTGAAAAGAGACACTTGGAAGATGAGTCAAGTGCCCACTTTATGCATCTCACCAGCTGTTTCTGGTACTTTCTAAAATGTGCTGATGAGACGTTTCTTATTTGAGGAGTTCCAAACCCACTTGGAAAAAAGAACAAGGTCCCTGTAACTACTTTGTAAGTTTAATTTGAAAGGTTGTACCTGAAGAAACCCCCTCAGCCTAAACATTTGGAAGAGCTCCATGAATGTCAGCTTCTGTTATGTGCAGATTTTAAATTCTTCCATGAGATTTCTCAGGAACCAGAGCCATTGAGAGATTTCCTGCATGTCTAAATACAAATGGTGAAAATAGCATAGATGGTGACTTCTTAGTCTGAGGGTTGAGGGGGGTACTTTTGTAATTAGAAGCATGAGTTTCCAAATTTACTTGATTTGAAAACAAACCTTATTAGTGTGCTGGAAAATGGATGTAGTTTCCTTCATTGCACTTGGAGTGGGTACAGTTGTATCAACCAGCTTGATAAATATTCAGGATATTTTCTCATAACATTAAATCCTATCAAAATATTCCAAGTTGCTCCCAGCATTTCTGTAGTTGTCCACATGGCTGCAGAACTGTATTGGATGTTATTTTATGACTGAAATAAATGCAAGGTGAGTTCATCTAAAGTAACAAAGTGATGCCATGAGGAATAAACACTTACTGTGGCATCAGTTTACAGCCTTCCTGAAATAAAGATTACCCAATTTGCTTCCATTAATTGGTGGCATCTTGAGTCACTGCTGAAAAAAATAATTCCTGGGCTTATAAACTCAAAAGCTAAGGAGTAAAATTTAGTAACACACTAGAGAAGATGGTGTTTCCTGGGTTTATTTTAGCAGACAAAATTGCAGGGGTGTGTGACTCAACTGGTGTCTGTCTTTGTGGTGATGGAGGTAGAAAAATATACAACTTGGAATGTTTGTTCTCCTGGTTTGAGGGTTAATACATTTCCACACTTTTTGTTTTGTGTTTTCAAATAGTTTAAATACAAATATAAATTATTTTCACATACTTCAAAATTGAAAGTATTTGTCTCTTGCTTTGGACTTCAAGTCAATAACGGTTGTTTTTATATTTTATTTAAAAAAACCCCAACAAATCGAAACATCTCCAAACAAAACCACCCCAAACATGTAGGTTACAACAGACTTTTATTTTATTACATTTTGGACTCTTAGGATCCATATTTGATCTGCATACATCATTTTAAAGCTTAGCTACAAAAATCTTGCTCACATGAGTAGTAGTGGAAAATGATTTCTTCAGTATCTCTGAAGCTTTTTTTCTCTGAGAAGGCAGAATCTGTAATTTAAAACCATCTATTTTATGTATTTTATATTTCTTGTGCCTGCTATCCTTTTAGTTTTACCCTGAGAAATTATCTCCCTGCTTTACAAGTGGGATTAAGGAGTTAGTATTTAAAAAAGAAACATTATACAAATAGATTGTAGACATTTCTTGGTCTTTGCAACATTTTTCTCCTTCTACTTCTTTGGAATTTCCCCACTGAACACTTTCAAACTTCTTGATGTTGCTACTTCTCCAAGTTTTGACACCTTTTCTTAAAGTGTATGAAAATGAGCTTGGAAAAAATATATCAGGGTTGTAACTGATAAAGGAGTTGCAGGTTTTTATACCTAAAAAGAAGGATCTGGGTTGCATGATGGTTCTGTCTGTCTGTAGCCTTGCTTTTTCAAGTTAGAGAAGGCACACTTAGTTCAGACAAGGGAAAGAAATAATTGTACTTCTTAACTGAAACACATCATAAATTGTGTTTTACTAATTAGTAGTGATGTGGATATAAACAGTTGTGTGTGTTCACAAAGTTGTCAGTCCTTACTTTCATATTTCAATTCCTTCAATTAGTTGACGTTCATTTGGGGGGGTGGGTGCTAATTAAAAGATGGGGAGGAATATTTCTAGTTTTAATATAAGTGTCTTTCAGTCATAAATCCTCCACAAAAACATTTACTCCAGTGCTGCAGTCAGCCCAAACTGCTCTTCTCGAATCAGTACATAGTGTTTGCTGTTGTACAAGTGGCAGAGTGTAACTGTATGTGCCTTTTTAAATACCTAAATGTGCTGGGCACTTGAAACCCAGTCTGAGGGATTGTTCTTGGCTCAAGCAGGCTGAGGAAATGGTTGAGATTTCAGTGATTAAGGGTGGGGGGAAGCATTTTAGCTTTAAGGTAGAGCTTTGGCAGCAACTTGTCTCATAGGATGTGTCATGCTGTTGCTGGGTGATGTATTTTCTTTTGCCAGAAATGTGATTATGTTTGGTTACTCCTTATGTAATATTCACATGTGAATTGCAGTAAAAGTTCACATTTTTAGGTGAATGTGAACAGCCATTACTTACTTTCTTTCTACATAAAACCATTTTAAACTTTTATATGTTAAATAATGTTTTATGTTACCCTGAAATCTTCAGGCCTTTTCTACTCTCTATTTGGATAATGAAATCCTTATTTGTAAGGACACAGTTTGTTTGTATGCAAACAGAACAAAACATTCGTTATCCACTGAACAGGTTAAAAAGATAGTAAAAAAATAAAGTGATTATTTCTTGAGGTGTTTCCAAGTGTAGAGTAAATGTAGTTCTAGTCAAGTTCTCTTCTAGAACGGAGCTTCAGTGTCTGAGTTGCTCTGGTATTTCTGCTGACCAGGTGTTGCTTTTAATTATGGTTTTTAATTTTCAGGAAACTTTATTTTTAACCATGCCCCTTTTTTTTGCTTGGCAATTTAAATCCTTTTTGGTTCCTTCTGTCTGTGACAGCCACACTAGATGTTTATTGTAACAAATGACCACGCATGTTTATTATAACGAATGACAGCCACTACATTTGCCAACAAACTTTCTTTGTCTGAAAACTATAAGCAGAAATACAGAACTGTTGTGGTTTTAATCCTGTGGTGACTTCCTTTACTGTTTAATTTCACAAGAAATTATGAGGTAATTTTGAAATCCTGATAATGACAAGCCTTTATAATTGGTGGGATTTGTAGTTTCTGGTTTTGTTGTGGGTAGGAACAGGAAAGGCTGTGGCAACTTCGGACCTAGCACTGCATAAAATGTTTGTATCTTGGGTGTATTTGCAAATCAAGTTGTTTGCAGTGCTATTTCTCTTTGGAATATAGTTCAATAACTTTGTATGAGCATATTTAGTCACTTAAAATATATGTATATTTAATCGGTTAAGAAATAATATTCTGGGAAGTTATTTTTTCGTCAGTTCAGGTCTTTAATTACTCCCTTGTTATTTTTGGAGTGAGCTGCCTTAGCTTTGTATTTAGTAACTTCTGATAAGTCTGGTCTTGATTTTCTACTTAGTAGGTCACATCTGACTCATGGATTTTGCTCTGAGTTATTCAAGCATGTTAAAAAAAGGGGAAATATATTGGTGTGGGAAAAAAGTGGAGCTGAGCGGGGGGGGGGTGTCAGAAAGTTTGGTGTCAGAAAACCTCCCTTTCAGTACCTTTGTCTGCACTGAATGAGAAAGGGAAACAAAAAGCCCAAAAAACAAAATTAAAAATTGCACCCTAAGAGTTCTTGAAGGGGATTGTTGCAGAAAGTCCTGTAAAAATGTTGCCACCCTTCTGGTTTTATACAGTGTTAACTGGATAAGGACCAGGCCACTTTAGTTTGACAAATGTTATGTGCTTCTTGTTTCGGTGACTTCACTATGTTGAAACTAGTCTGTTAGAAATGTGCTGATAAACATAAACTTGATATAAAACATTTAGGACTCAAGCAGCACAATCTCTCTGATTTTCTGAAGTGCTGTGATGATACTTCACCACATGAGGGTGAACATATACATGTCCCTTCAACTTGTTTGCCTTGAGAAATTGCAAAGTTGGGGTTTTTTTTGTTGTTTTGGGGGCTCTTTTTTGGTATAAACCTTTAGCTGTGTTCTCCTTTACAGTTCTGTTTCAAAGCATGGTATGTTGAGTATTTTGGACAAAAAAAGGAGTTGATTTCTGTTACAGAAAAAGTTACTCCATGAGATGACTTAAAACCAGACATTGAAGTATATATAGAATCTAAACCAAATGTGCATTATTCCCCACTCACCCTTCCATATAAAATGTGTGTAGTTTGAAATTTATTTTGTACTTAGTTTAGCTTTTTCTCCACCCACCTCCAACCCTCCCATCTTTTACTGGTGATTGTTGCAAGTCTGCTCAGAACTGACTGATGTTTTGTTTTCCTGGGACTGAGGAATGTTTCACATTATGAAGAAAGTTTGCTGTTCCTATTCTTCCTGACCAGTTTGGGGCGCACCTTTTCAAGACTACAATGGCTATCTATTCTCATCAACTTGATGATTAATTTATATGCTGCATTACTTTTGAATGCTGATTGTTTGCACTGGCCCTACACTGACATTAGGACCAAAATACTGTCAAAATTTCATATATGCCAAACTAAAGAATGAGATAAGAAAATACAGTAGGTTTCCCCTCTTTAACTATTTTCAGGGTGGCTAATTTACTGTAGTTAGTAACTTTTTTTACATCTTTTGCAGCTCCTGCAACCTCTTTAAATTCACTATAGGAAGAAGCTCCACAGCTTAATTACACACTATGTGAAGAACCACCTCCTGTTCTTTGTTTTGATCCTGCTTACTGACCTTTTTTGGTGTCTCCCCTGCACCTGTCTGTTCTTCACAATCCAAAGTGTCCTAGTTGGCTGCATTGATCCATATGTGACATTTATTTTGGCTACTTAGCATTTTTTGCTTTCCTTTAAAGCTTTTTTTAAGGCCTTCTCTATGTTTCTTGAGGCAGGAATGGGTAGGTAGCAAACCAGCATGTGATTTTTCTTTTTATGCTTTGTTTTATATCGCCCTTCTAAGATTTAATTTGCTTTCTTGGCCATTGTGATGAACACTGAGGTGATTTTTCATTAAAACATCTACCATAATAAGACAGCCTTGCTTTTGGGTGGTAATTGTCAGTTTGAAGGCCATTTTATTGGTTTTGTTCCCTAAGTACCACTGTTGTCTATGCTGAGTTCAGTCACTCACTGTCATAAATCCTCTTTACAGTTAACACTTTAGGCTACCAAGAAAATAAACTAATATTGTTACAACATGTTTTTTATTGCTTGAAATCATGTATAAGTGTGTCTTTGCTGTGCCTCTCAGGTCACAGCACTGTGAAGCACCACGGTGGGAACTTTTATTTCTGCCTTTGTTTGACCCTTTGCACCACTAAGGGATGTTTATTCTTTCTGTCTACTTTGTTTCTTCCAAGGCTTTTTTGGTTTTCTATACAAAGAGCTTTGTTAAAACTATTTCAGAGAACTCTTAATAGATGTGTGAGATAGTATTATCTGATAAAATGGCTGGTCTTCTGAAGAGGAAGACTATTTATCTACAAGTCTGCTAATTCTCCTTCAGTTGACCTAGATTTTTGCTGCATTAAGATAACAGATTTTCAAACAGAAATTATTAAAATAAATGGAAATAATGGTGGAAAAGTCAGAATCTACCTACAAAATATGAGTCCCTCTCAGCTGCTGCTGGTGAGGAGAAAATGTTACTGGTCCTGTGTCAGCAAAGGGACACTGGCTGTTCATGTTGCACAGCCTTAAAGTTAGTGACTAATCCTTCACAGAACTGGTGGGTGCCTTTACACACATTTATTTTATTGCTGTACTTCCTGCTGAACTTGGGGCTGTGTGTTTTAGACATGGACTGGGCCTTTCAGAGGCCTTCAGGGTAGGGTTACCTGTGTAGGAATATCAGGTGGTGCTGGGTTATTGAGCCAGTACCAGAAATTTGCTTTTACTAATAAAAACAAGATTGATTCGATAACCAGGGACTTTTCTCATTAAAAAATCTATTTTCCTCTTCATGTATCTCTATAAATAGTGATGCAGTTCTGTAACTGTAGATGAGGGCATAAGTAGCCTTAGTTCCACCATATGGAAAAAAAAAGCCAAACTTACTCATTTGATCAGATAAGGAAGGGTGACTGGTGTGTTTGTGCTGAACTAAAGGCCAGAAGAGTGCAGGCTACTCTTCCCCTCTTGGAAAATTTTTAGACTAGAATGTCTGGATGTTGGTATAAACTCTCTAATTTGTATCCCCTCACAACTCAAAAACTTGTGTTTAAATGCAGAGTGTAATATCTACTGTGGTGCAGCATGAGAAGGAAATATTTCCTGCCTGAAAAGAATAGTTTTAGGTCCCTTGTGGTGTGCCTTTTATGATGTAGGTCATAAAGTGTCTATTTTATTTTTTTTTTTTTGTTTAATAACAGAAGTAGAATTTGTAAGCAAAAAACCTGAACGTTTTCTGAGTGAGAAGGAGGGGAGATAAAGGAGGTACAGTATTAAGTACTAATGACTAAGGAGAATGTCTTCCACTGTAATATTTCTTTCCATGTTTTGGTCCTTAGGTTGTTGAGGACTATGCTGGGAGGTGGCAGGTTCCTTTGCCTCAGCTCCAGGTGCTCCAAACAGCTCTGTGTTGTTTCACCTCTGCCTGTGTGTCCTTCCCAGCAGAATGTGAGCACGTCCAGTATGTGTTGAGTAGCCTGGCTTTGTAAGTACATCATTTGTTACTGTTTTCTTCACAATACAGGTCATAACAGCAACAGGGTCTCATGTCCTCAGAGCTTTCAAGAGACTGCTTTTACCAGGAGATGTATCCTCAGTTGCATGCAGCTACAAAACCTGGAATTTAGTTGTCATTTTGTGTCCTTGTTGAATATTCAGATTAGCTGTTACAGTGTTTTGTAGTAATTTATCTCAAGTTTTTACTCTTCTACCTCCAGTGATGTAATGAGCCAAGTATTTCTTAAGATAATTTTCTTTAAGAAATAAGTCAATGATTTTTAAATCGATTTTTATGTTTGAGTCATCAAAATGCTTATGGGAATTACTTGTTTTACAGTTAACTGGCCCACAGTCACATTCAGCTTAAAGACCTGGAGAATGTCATGCCATAAATCTTGCTCTAGCTCCAATTTTCTTGATGCATTGGTGATTTTTCCCACACGAAGACTGAAAGTGTCAGGGTAATGACAAGTAAATAAGTCAAAGTCCCATTTGTCTCTTGTTCTAAAACCCTGCTTTTCAGGGTTCAAGACCTGAATAGAAGAAGAAAAGTAAATGTTCAAGTGAATTAGATATACTTAAGCTGAGATGTACTTGATCTTCTCTCAGCAGATGGAGACAGAAGCCTAAGCACTGAATTTATTGCAAGTTGGGTTTGAGTAAATCAGGTTTATTTGTCCAGCTGGTTAAACTGCTTCCTTACTGAGCAGTGCTTTCAAATCCAGCTCAGTCTCTCAGCTCAGAATTTTCTGTGGAAATGTATTGTTCCCCCATCTGATCATCACAAGTGAGTGAAGCTCCCCTGGTCTTCCTCTCTTAGTTTCCTTGGTCAGGACTGGTTGTGTAATATTTACTGTTTTGTGTGTGTGAAACTATTTGACATAGTTAAGGAATCACAAGACCACAGTTTTCAAACCTGGAACGCTCAGGTATCTGAGGATGACTGAGCAGTTACATCAAAACATGGTGACTTCTGTTGCTGGTTTTTTATCCCCCAGTTTCTAGGGGAAAAAACCTCAAAGTTCAGACCGTGCTTCTCTACTTCTAAATATGAAAGCTTGGGAGGTAAAGAGGTGGAAATTCAGGTATTTGTTGTGTGTGGGTTGGACACTCCCTGATAATTGAGAAGTGAATTGGTAGCTGAGTTCCTGCCACCCTGGTTTGTCTTGGTCTTTGAGCTCGGTTTACTCACTGAGTAAATTCCATTCCAGAATGTCAGATCATTTTTTCTCCTTACTCTGCCTGATTGGCATTTTTTTGCATGGGATGTGATATAAAGGGATCCCAGGGCTCAGTAGCTGCAGTTACCTGGGAAACCTTGCTGGAATATCTTTTGAAAATTGTGTGTATATTAAGTCTTAGTTCTTGGAGAGCAAAAAATCTGCCTGACTGTATTTTCATACTTGAGTAAGATTTCCTTGGTAACCAGACAATAAACTCTTAACAGTAACAACTGTTTTATTTCCTATATTTAATAGCCTTGCTATTCATATCGAATGGGGGAGCATCTGTATTGTCATTAATCCCAGGGGTTTTCCTACTGGTGCCAGTGGTCTTGGGCAATCTTCTGGTGCCAGTAATACCAAAGTAGTGATGTGATAAATCTAGATATAGATATAAATGTGGATGTGCAATGCTGCAGGTTTTAAGATAACTTGGACCAACTTGGAATTGCCTGAATTTTAACTGAATGGAAACTGGTAATGAGGAAAAAGAAGTATTTTGATGGCTTCCTTTATTATTCTGAAAAGAGTGTGATAAGCAGGTGCACTGATAGAGAAGAAAATTACAGTTTACACTTGCTCACTATTGATTTACAGATTTTTTTCTCAAAGTCCTGTTCTTATTAAATCAGTCAAAGCAGATTTAAACACAAGCACACATCACTTGCTATAACTAGTTTTGTCTTATTATTTAAGTTCTGGTTTGGCTGCTTTCCAGATCCTGACATGACTCATGTCTGACCTTTCCTGAGAGTCAAATGTGCTGCAAAATTTTGTTTAACATGAAATGAGATAATGTTTTTTTCAGAACAAAGGACTTATTTAGATAGTGGTTGTTTTTTCATTCCATATATGAGTTGAGATTTGAGGACCTAACCTGAGGAAAAATTCTGTCACTGAACATAATGAATTTGTAACTTCATTTTTCTAGGTCTGTTTTTGGCATAGCTTATCCCTGGTTAGGAAAAAAATTACTACAGCATAATCTAAAGGAAAGCAAATTTTATGATCCTTTGCCATTATTACTATAGAAAACTTAATTTTGTCTGTGTGAATATTTTAATGCACAGTATTTCTGAAAATATTATTCAGAGGAAAAATGAACTTTTTTTGAATTTGCTTTATTAAAACCATAACATTTTGTTTTGTACTTTGGGTGTTACCTTCAAATATTTTGAAGTTTGACTTGAAATTAGGGGATAACTGCAGTGAATTTACTTGTTCTGCAAAGGGTTCCTTGTCCAGCTGTTCATGAAAACCTGCCTTTTGTTTCAAGAGCAGTTGCAACGAAAGACTAATAGGTCAGGAAAGAAATTGCACTGGCAAGATCTTGACTTAAAAACCTGTTAACAGGATTGTTTGTCTTAATCACTATATTTAAAAGAAATAAAATGCTAGACCGGTATTTTAAGATGATGGAAAACATGGAGGCCACAAGTCAGTGTAAATATAGATTGAAAGGATCAGCTCTGCTTGCTCCTGTGTCTGCCACTTGTTGCTGCACATGCACCTGATTTGTCTTAAATCTTGTTTTCTTCCTCAAAATTGCTGCACATCTGACAAATTCTTTGGCTCTTGAGAAGGTTCACTGTTGTATGGAGGATACAAGACCTCTTGAGGGAGAAGATCAGGCAGGTGCTGTGAGTCTTAATGCCATGAACTTGTGAAAAAAGTGCAGTAGGAGGGATTTTAAGTTGACTTTTCAATATAATCTCTATTATTGCCAATTTGGTCTTGTTAGCTTATTTAGAGCTGTATTTGAGTGACTCCAGCATGGGCACAGGGTCTAGAATTGTGATTTTAAGTGCTGTGAAAATTAATAGACTTGTAGTAGTTTCATTTTTTTGAATGAATGTTTTTAGCTTGACTTGTCACTACTTCTGTTTTTTAGGAGTTTTTTTGAATTGCTGCTGTTCTTTGGAAAGGATGAGTTCTATGAAGATCCTTTGAAAGATATTTTAGGTTCAATCCAGGTAGTGTTGCCTGCTTTCATATAAACCTTGTAATGTTATTTTAGGTGATGTAAAGACAGTTTTTGTGGATATATAACCTGGAGGAAATACACCATTGAAGGGAAAACAATTTATTCTTTCATTTATCATCAATATTGCTCTATGAATCTACTCGGAGTAAGCAAAATGTACTTCTCTTTGTAGTACCAATCTTGTTAGTCATATTTTGTGCATTTCCTACATAGAAGAAGGAAGCTTTGCTTATTTGTGTCTATTTAGAGCTTAATGTCATCTAGTGTCATGACATGAAACCTCCTGTTTCCCCACTGTGGTTTTAAACAGTAAATTTGAAGTCGAAGCTCTGCCTCAGTGAAATCCTCAGGTCAGCACAAATTACATATGCAGCTGTTCTATTCTTGCATAGATTGGGACAAAGTTTTGTTTGACTCTATAGAACTGCATAAGTGATCTTGGGTTAAAAATATGCCCTTTTTTTGCCAGATAAGTGTGGGCTTTGCTTTTGGTATTTTATGTTACCTGATTTTGAGGGTTGAGTTCACTGCATGGGACCGCAGGCACATGTACCACCATGAGAGGAAACTTTGTAGGGAAAGAAGGGATGAAAAACAAGGTTGTATCTTCTGTTAATGCTGATCATGGAACTGCAGTTTGAAAAACAGCTATTCCTCAGTTATTTTTATGGTGATACCTGTCTGTTACTGCTTCTACAAATTAATGTATCAACACTGCTTACCTTTAATTATCAAACCAGCAGCCATTACTTGCTTGATTACAATTAGTGGAAGAATGTGGGCAAGCAGTGGCTTAGTCTCTCACAAAAGGATAGTGGGACAGTTTGGCAGTCCTACAATAAGTACTTGTCAAAAGCAGTCTCTGAATAAGAAAGACTTCAGCAAAAAATGTGATGTGTACTTTTGTATTACAGTTCTCAATTGCCTTTTTACTTTTAAACAATGAATGTATTAAAATATATCTTTGCACAGTTTTCTAAATAAAGAATTTCTGCCTTAGTTGTGTCATCAAACTGGTAGTGAAAAACATTATTTTGGTTACTTAACCAGTGCTTACCATCAAACCTACTCTTTTGAATATAAAAGAAAAAATTGGTTTGAAAATAAAAGAACTTGCAGCAGGAAAGCATATGTGAAGAAGGTAATTGTATGTGCATGGAAACCATTCTTCAGCTGCATTTTTTATTTCAAAATTAGATAACTTTCTCATGATTAAAATTTTCTGTCCATTAATGTTAATATTGGCACTTTACCAGCAAATAACAAGATGTGGGGATGAGAGGGAACTTGACATGTGAAAATCACGGGTGGCTAAAGCATTTCCTAATATTATAGGCAAACATAGTTTCTTATACGTGGAGATCTGGAGAAAAATGGTTGCTTGAGGGCTGGTGACTCATGTGGCTTAATTAATTTTTCCCTCCTGGAATTCAGACACCATCACTGGATCACAAATCCAGCACCGACACGTCTAAATCTGTCAGTAAAAGACTTTGTAGCTCCAGTTGCTGACTGAGGAAATACTCAAACATGTGTGGGTTTCTTGTTTTGTATCTTTTGGATAACCTAACTGGTTTTAGACATCTTTTTCTTCTCCCTAATTGCTTTTCTTTTTGCACGTAGGAATGTCAGAACCTGCTAAACAAATACAGGAATATGAACCTGGAACTAGTGACTCGAATCATTCGAGATGGTGGACCATGGGAGGATCCAGTATTACAAGCAATTCTGAAAGCAAAGCCTGTGTCACAGGAATTAGGTACTTCATTTACCACAGTAATTTTCTAGAGCACTGAAAGATGTGTTAAATTATGCTTTTTTTAAACTATTAGTCAGGTATTGTCAGCTGGCATTGCACACAGTTTATTTTTCTGTAGTAAAACATGCTGGTCCCTCTTTTATTCGAAAGAAAGCTAAATTTCTTTGCTACTGGTTTAAGACTTATTTTATAGTGTAGAGATCAGATTGTTCAGACACAGGTGGTTCATAAAATTCATGTCATGGATTTACCAAATCTAGATGTGCAACCCCTGACAGAGCATTGGAGACTGACCTGACTTCACTTAGGCTACTGGAGAGGATCTGATGTGTATTTATGTCTCATAAATACCCGTCAGACTCATTTAATTTTTCTTTTAAATTGTAAATACTTGGGCTTGTGGCTTTTCTGGGTTCTGTTTACAGCAATGCCCATGATTACATGTGGCAGCTGTTCTCTGTTTGTGTGTGTGTAATTCCTAGAGCTGAGAGTAGGAGAAAGATGGAAACAAAATCACCGGAATGGTAATGAAAGTTCATAAGAGGAAAAATATCCAATCTACAGTGAAGTCTTTACTAATATCTTAACATTTACCAGCAGTGCTCACAGAGGATCTCTTAAAAGTTGTTTCTGTTTGATAGTGATGGAAAATGCTAGTTTTTCTCTAGTTGCTGTGGTGTAGTGCATGATACAAACTCATTCCTGTGTTTATGACAGTGTGCTCATTCTGTAGAGAGAGGAAGAGGATTAAAGTTGAGCCTGCCTCCTTAACCAGAAAAAGTATTTTGATAGCAAATTAACATGATTAAAGGGGTAGTTGTTCTGTTGTTTTGTCTCTGCTGTGAAGTGCTTGAGCAACATATTTGCCCATTATTTTTATAATATATCTGGTTTAGTTCTAGTCAAATATGTACAGAAACAAAGTGAAAACAAGTATTAACCTTGTTTTGTTCTGCATTGCACGGTTTTGGTGATTATGATGTGAGGTTAGGTCTCAATCTCTGTCTCTCCAGCAAAGAATTAGTTTATCCTTTGCTATAATGATTCTCTTGGTCATCAGGAAACCTCTCTGGTAACAGTTTGAGGCTGTTTACTTAGTTTTAACCTGGCAGAGTAGGAATGAGACTGCCTGTTGTCACCAGATGATCACTTTGTTTCCTTTTGTTTCAGGCTGCATCTCCTTCCCCTCTGCCGAGATTTTCTCTGCTTTTTATCTTCTGATATCCCCACACACCCTTGACATCTCATCTGTGATGACAAATGTTTTCTGTTAGATAATGACATTTTGGAAGCTCGTTCTTTCTTGTCTCACTTCCTCTAAAACCTGATTCTTGTCAAGTCTTACAGAAAGCAGACATTCTGTACTACTTTACAGGCTAGCATTATTTGGTGTATATTTTGTACATTTGGCCATGTAGTTCCCACAGGGATCGTTATTTCTAATGGGGAAAGCTGCCTATTGCTGAATCACCAACCATTACTTGCAAAAGTCAGTTTGTGTGAACTACATAATCCTGTCTTGGATTCATTAACTGTCTGGAGCAGCTTAGGCCAAGACTAACCTCTCTGTGTCTGTCTTTACATGACTTGTAGCATACTTTGAGATGTTACATTCTATTTTGAGATGGCTGGAAAGAAAGGCAGTTATTGAGTTTAAAGAAAAATTGTAGGGTTGAAACACTGGAGCAATAAACTTGTGATAGATTAGGAAGAATAAGGTGGTCTAATGTGAGGATCTAGAAAAGATCACTAGAGAGGTGCACCCACTTAATTACTTTCTAAGGGGGTTGTTGACATCTTTACTTGGCTCTAGGGACTTTTCTGTATAATCACTTTTTCTTGCAGTGAATGACCTCACTTAGTCACTGGCTTTCCTTTGAGTCCTCTTGTTTACTGAGTTTGTACCCAGAAGTGCAAATGGATAGTGGGAATTAGATTTTTTTTTTCCTTTAACAAATATAATCTGAAACCTAACACCTTGAATAATATTCCTTTTTTAGCGTGTTACACCATTAGCTTCCATAAAAATAAAGATGCTAGAGAAATCCTGTTTCTAATAGAGATCTAAAGTATGTCTTCTAGGGATTTCTGAATTTCCAGTTACTTAAATGTTAAATATTTTTAGTATCTCAATTGAGATCATTTCACTCATATATTAGCTTTAAGATTATCTTTTAGGTCTGAAAAACAGAATTCCAGAAATCAGGGGCTAGGATTAAAAGGTATTTAAATATAAATGGTGCCCAGTAGCACTTTTAGAGGAAAATATTCCACTTCGGCAAGAAAAATCAAGGCATTCAAAGCTGCTTAAGGCAACAGCATGTGGATTGTAGTTAACCTTTTTCTCATCACTTTGAGGTCTTACATTTTAATGGGTAATGAGAATCCTGAGTTGTTTTAAATATTTGTGATTATAGTTTGGAAGTGATATCAGTCCTATACTTTTGACAGTCACCCAGATTCCAGTGCTGAGAAAGGAGGGAATTTTTTTAAAAATGTTCACATCTTCTGTATAGTGTAAATCTTACTAATCCTTTACAGCATCTTGTGTTAATCTGTTAGAAACAAAATACTGAACTAGATTACTGGTGTAAGAAAAATAACAATTTGTTTCCAGGCAGGAGGACAGATTTATGGTATTTAACTTAATATTTGATCGATTCTTTAGCAGAGCCTTAATTTTTTTATATTATTTGTTGACATTGCACTATTAAAAACAACATAAAAATAATTGTTGGTTGGACTTCATATTCTAATTGCCTTTAAATCTTTCTTTTCTGTACAGTTAACAAATATTTAAGCTCTGAAAATCCACTGTTCTTTGAACTGCGTGCCAGATACCTTATTGCCTGTGAACGCATCCCTGAGGCAATGGCTCTTATCAAATCTTGCATAAATCATCCAGATATCAGTAAAGATCTGTATTTCCATCAAGCTCTTTTCACCTGTCTTTATATGTCACCATTAGAAGATCAGCTATTCCAGGAGGTATTGTTTGTCAGTATACATTGTTTTCATGAAGTGGGACTTTATACTTGCTGGGTACAAGTTGTCAAGAGGAGCGTGTGGAACTCTGCTTTTGTAGAACCAAATGTCATAAAATCAGGCTTACCTTAGTGCTGGCTTAAGCTTGGAGGTGGTAAATGTTAAGTGCCTGCAGATCTTGTTGACCTAAATGCAATTTTTTTGGTTCAAGTGTGCTTGTGGATATATTCCCTAAATAACTTAAATCATTAATATTTTGTGACTTCAGTGTATTGACTATTTTACTATAGACTATTATTTTAGTAAAAGCACTTGAGCCTAATTGATGCCAGTCCAGTGTTCTGTACATTATATAGTTTTGGTAGGCTTGAAATTTTTTAATGATGTCCTTTTGTGTAAAATGACACTTTAGCTGAATGTGGCCCTGCTTTTTCCAGTGGTAGCACTAGATAACAGTGCTTTTCTTAACCTTGTTTTAAGAACAAGCTCCCATCATGCAAAGAAGTGCTTTTGTGTAGTATTTTAATTTTTCAGACAATTATTCTGATGGTCACTACTGTAAGAAATATGAAGGAGCTCTAGATACCTCCAAAATCCTAATTTACAGACCTACACAAAAGCTGTTCCAAAGCCGTCCTATGTTAATAGCAATTCCTGAAGTTTTCAGTAACTTTAGTATAGCAAGGTCTGGTAGGTTTTTATTTCATGTCAGCCAACTGATCTAAATTGATTTTATTTTAATTGTATAGCACTTGTTGAGGACTGATTGCAAGAGTGGAATTGAGATCATCTGCAACACTGAAAAAGAAGGGAAGACTACCTTAGCCTTACAGCTTTGTGAATCCTTCCTAGTCCCACAGCTCCAAAATGGGGACATGTATTGTATATGGTAAATACTTTATTTCTGGTGAAGCAGCTTAGCAGGAAATAAATGCTTGTTGCCAAAATGAAACTCACCTAACTTTTAAGATGTAGCTCAAGTTTAAAGTACCAGTTAAAAAATGTTCTAACACAATTTTTAAACATTCCTCATGCATCTGTTGTGCCTGTTTGCCTTTTTACACAGGGTCATGTGCAGTGGTAGTACATAGTACATAACATTTACTAACTGCTTCAAGTTAAGAGAAGAGTGAGCCTTTACATACCTGAGGCTATAAATACCTAAAAATTTATTATAAGCATTTATGATTAGCAATGTGTAACAATATGCAGTCTGTAGACTCTTAGCAATGAAGATATTTTGCTCTGTAGCTGTAGTATGTGTCTAAATGTGTCTATAAAGAGAATATGTCATTCTGAAATGTGCTATTAATTGTGGAAACTTCTACATCATAAGCAGAACCATTACATAAATGATGGTCCTTTATAAAACATTTAAGTAAGAATGTCTTCATACACATTGAATCATCTTGATACTTGGATGTTTTTAGGGGTAAAAAGTGTTTTCTAGAGAGTTGTTAACAAACTTCATCATTCTGAGGACTGAAAGTAAGGAAGATAATTCTTCTGTTTAGCCTTTGTAATTTGTGTACCTGAAGGAACATCTGCATTCCTTGATATAAAGTATGCTTTATTTGTTTGTTTGATGATGTAGTTAAAGGAAAACAGCTTAGCAAGGATTTGATCTTCTTCTTCCATCAATTGGAAGAAATTATTCATCTGCATAACTAATTTTCACATGGAGTTTAGAATCTCTAGGATTTCTGTGTTCCCAGATTTCAGGGAATTGAAAAGGATTTTTTGTCTTGAAGTAACGAAGGTCAGACATGATAATGTTTGGTTTGTTACTAAATTTATTCCTTAACTACTGGATGAGTAATTGTTCAATCAAAACCTTTGGGATTATGGTTGACATACATTTATAGTACAACGTGTTGGCAGTAGCTGGTGGTGTTTTGCATTCAGTCTGTCCAGAAAAAGGTGGTCATGGCTGTCCTCACTGGACAGAAGTTCAGCCAAAAAGGTACATAGTTTGTGTGAGCCCCGTGGCCACTTTAGAATGGAATCCCTATTTGCTGATTCCTGCCCAAATGCTGCCTCTCCTGGCTTCTTATTTTTTAGGGAATTGACAGATATAACCTACATGTATTAATTACATGGCTAGTGCTTTCTGTTTCAGGGATTCAGTGTTTTTAAAAAATGCATTTTTAATACTGTAATTAAACCACCTTCTTATATCTTATGCTATATGTTAGCCTTGCTCTTACCAATCTGATTTTGCATCATCCATTTTTGAAATTGCTGTTCCAAACAAGATGTATCTCCTTATGTTCTGTCAAAGATGAAATTCCAGAAGAGACTCAAGTACTTTTGGATACCTGTTTTAGAAGGAAACGATCTCAGTCTTTTAATCTGCTCTTCAGAATTGAGAACTTGGGAATCTTTGGAAGAGTTCAGAGCAGTTACATCTGTGCAGCTCAAACAGCTGTTTCATTCTTTACAGATGCTGAGCCTTAACAATTGTGTTCCCAACAAGAGAATTCTGTATAATGCTTAATAGATCATATGAAGGCTGCATGTACTACATCATCATGTGATGACTACACTGTAATTCAAATTTTTGAAGAAGTAAGAGCCAGGTTAATTTAGCTTTGAGAGCGTATTTTTCCCTAGAGGAGATTTTAATGTCTTCAGCACAGCATAAATCATCTCACCTTGTCTGGAATTGAGGGTAAAAGTTAAGTAGCAAAGTTAAGACAGCAAAATAAATTAGAAAGTTGTAATTAGCAGATATTTGCTACCTGTATGAAGTCTTCAAGGTGAAACCGTCAACTGCCATCTCAGAGGAAGAGGAATTTTAAGCAGCTCTGTTGCACAACTCTTACTGTCATTGATGTTAAGGATAAATTCTAGATTTAGATGAACTGAATTGTTTGTGGGAAATCAAAGCCCACTTACAAATTAATCACAAGGCAAGCTGTGTTTGGTCTTACTAGACGTACTTTCATACGAGGTATTGGTGAGAGGTCAGTCCAGAGTGATGTAGTATTAAGGTGATGTCTCTTCAGCAAGACAGTGTTTTGATCGAACAGTCATAAACAGGCACAGCAGGATTGCCTTCCTTCTCTGCCAGGCAATTTTTTAAATGCTGTTTTGGCTGTTTTCGAGTGATTCCTATGCAGTAAATTCAAAGTAAGTCAAGGAATTTTTACCACACGTTTGATCAGTCTTTTGGTAAAGTGTGCTCTCTATACCCAAGGAAAGACAGACCTTCTGCTTATCAAAGGTATCAAAGGGTTGAGATCTAGCTCAGGCAGGGTGGGTTTAACCATCATCTTGTGTTGCTGATGGAGATGTGCAGTGGTTGTGGTATTTTGTAGGTAACTGGAATGCATGGTTGCCTCTGGTAAAGAGGTACTGAGTTCTGTGATCTCACAGTAACAATTTAAATGGCCTAACACAAGTCTATAAAAATTTAGGAAAGGCCTCAGTGTGAAATAAGTTATACCATCCAAGAAATAAAGGTCTTTAAGTACTATACTACCCTGCCATAATGATTGTGCAAAGAGAAAACTACCCCTGTCTATGTTGTCTCAGATTCATCATCTCTGTTCTGGTCAGTGGCACTGAAATATCTCAAGTGCTGCTGACTTCAGCATGAAAGTTGGTATCTAAAGCACAGAAGTGGTTGAAAGAGTTTAATCAGCTCCTTAAGAAGACTTTAATCCTTAATGATTGTCAAAGTCAGAAATGTGCTTGAGAAGAAACCACCATGTCTACCAGAAAAATAAGATTAAAAGACTAAAATATAGGGTCTAGTCAAATGGTGGTTAACACCTTGTTCTTCCCCCAGGGAGCTGTTCCTCATACTTTCAGTTTTCTCCATTCCCTTTTCAGCTCTTTCCTTGTGCCAGCCATCACACTTGTCTGAGCACCACAAACCACTTCAACCACTAATCTCTCACAAGGATAATTTGAGTTTTCTCAAATTTTCTGGGATTGATGTTGAAATGGGTTGCTCTGAAATGGTATGAGGCAAAGCAGAGGTAAACTGGATTATTCAGTTGTGGTAACATATAACAGCAGAAATATTCAGTTCTTACTTCTGTACTTCAGATGGAGACTTTTACTGAGTTGTTATGAATGGTTTGGTCCACAAAGACACTCATTTTAAACTTCTGTGTGAAATCAGCAAAGATGTAGAAATCAGATTTCCAGCCTGGTAAAGGCAGAGGTGGACAGCTTATATCGTTAGAAAACCCGCAAGACTAATTTTTTGTGCATAGAGCTGCTTATAGGTCTCCCTTTTCACAGTTTCATGATGTAAGCTTAATCTTTCTTTCAACTTTAGTTTTCTTGGGTTCTGAATGAAAGAAAACAATCAAGCTCTCTTGTCTAGCTCTTAAAATGTCAAGCAGAACTGTAGAGCTGTCCTAAATCAAAAGGTGAAGTTGGCATTTTGTCATAGGCAGTTCCATCACTTCCCTTCATTCAGGCACTGACCTTACTAAGAGAAGCTCAGTCCTGAAAGGTTTCATTTGTAGCTGGCACAGACTGGAGACTCCGGAAGATCAACCAGATATTTTGTCAGTAATTACATTTGTTTTCTGAGGGAGGACACTGGTGGAATAGAAAAGTGTCTTCTTTCAGAAAATGGAAGTCAGTTAGTCCTGTTTTCATTGTAATGTTGCAGTGGGATTTCTTCCTAAGCAGTCCTAATTCATCTTCTCCTGTGTGAAATCTTTGTGCTAGCAAATCTTATCACTAAAAGTTAAGTCCAGTTTGCCTTTCTGAGTCTCTGAATTAAAGTGCATAGAATTTACAGGCTGTACATTTCAATTAGCTCTGTTTTACAGGCTGAGCACGTTACCTGTGTAGCAGCTCTGCTGCAGAGCCCAGCAGCCTGTTCTTGGCTTTCCTTGTCTCAGGCAGGAATGTTATTTGACTGAAGATCCCAGAGATGCAGGAATGGCTGTAGAGCCTGATACCTTCATATCATTGCTATTGGCAGAAAATTGTGTTGTAATGCACATAACTGGAGAACATCACTATTCCTGTCGCTGGACCTTAGCAGAAGTTACCTTTCTACAATGCTTCCACTTTCCACATTCAAAAGCTTCTTTTCCTGAAGGACTCTTCATCCTTGCGCTGAAAGTACCTTGATCCTGAGAACACACAGAGCTTGATGTTTACTGCCTGTGATGTTAAGGGTTAGATCTGTACCATCTGATTTTATTGTGCAGTTCTCTCTATAAACTAAGCTGAATACATTAATATTTTGTTGAGTATTTAATTGGCTCAGTGATAGGAGATACCCTGAATGCTTTAACAAAGTAATTAAGTTGCATTTTTCATTGTGCACATTGCGGTGTTAATTAGATTGGTATTAAGCCCTCAAATATGATTTTAGTCACAGAACATGCAAATAATTGTCTTTAGTAATGCATCATGCTTAGTGATAGAGTTCTAAAACTCAATCTAATTGGAATATTTTATTCTGTACTTAATAGGGACCTGATCTTCATTTGGAGTAAACTGCAGCTTAAATCTAACCCTTCAAAACAAGTATTTGTTGACCACTGCTACCAGCTCCTAAGAATTGCTACAAATGTCAGAGTCATTTTCCCTTTCATGAAAGTCATTAAAGATGAAGTAAGTTCTGTTTGTTTTTACCTCAGCCACCATTCTTTTTGTAACTAGTTAAAGAGAAGTGATGTTTATATTGTATAATGACCAGTTTTTATGGAAAGTTAAAAAACAGGGGATAGGGAAGGACACTATTAACTTAAAAATTTTGTCAAGTTCCAGAATATGCATCAATATTATGATTACTTTTGATTAGTTGTGTTTTTAAGGTTTTATTTTTACTGAATTCTGAGCTTTTCTTTTTCTGCAGTAAGTTTGAGGAATGTCATCTTCTATAAATAAATGTGGAAATTAATAAAAAGTATATGAAATAGATCTGAAGATCTAAAGATTTATTGGTTGGGGGAGGGGGGTTCAGCCTGGCTTCTCAAGGAAATAGGACTTGTGTAATTGTATCCACCCTTCATCCTTGCTAAATTCTGAATCCTTTTACCAGTTCTAATCAAATCTGAAAAAGTGCTTAATATATCATAAAGGAGGAGCTAGAATAGTACAGGAGAAGACATTATTTTACTTCAGAAAATTGCACAGTATTTCATGCTTCAGATGTTAGTCTTGTACTGCCTTGTACAAACATCTACAAAAGATGTCACAGAATCACAGAATGGGCTGAGGTGGAAGGGACCCACAAGGATCATTGAGTTCAACCCTCAGCCCTGCACCGGCCCATCCCCAGAGTCCCACCCTGTGCCCCAGAGGATCATCCAAACCCTCCTGGAGCTCTGGCAGCCTTGAGGCTGTGCCCACTGCCCTGGGGAGCCTGGTCAGTGCCCAACCACCCTCTGAGGGAAGAACCTTTCCCTGAGATCCAACCTGAGCCTGCCCTGGCACAGCTCCACCCATTCCCTGGGGTCCTGTCCCTGGTCCCCGCAGAGCAGAGCTCAGCTCCTGCCCCTCCTCTGCCCCTGCCCAGGAAGGTGGAACTGCAGTGAGGTCTCCCCTCAGTCTCCTCTTCTCCAGCTGAACCACCAAGTGCCCTCAGTGTCCTCACATGGCTTCCCCCCAGGGCCCTTCCCCATCCTCGTTGCCCCCTTTGGACACTCTCTAATGGCTCAATACCTTCCTTACATTGTGTCCCCCCAGACTGCCCCAATATTGCAGGAGAGGCTGCCCCAGAGCAGAGCAGGACAATCCCCTCGCTGGTGCCCCCCAGGACAGGGATGTCCCTCCTGGCTGCCAGGGCACTGCTGACTCAGGGCCAAGTGGCCACTCACCAGGACCCCCAGGGCCCTTTTCTGGCACTGCTTTCCATCCTCTCATTCCCCAGTCTGTCCATCCATCCAGGGTTGCCCCACCCCAAGGGCAGAATCTGGCCCTTCCCCTTGTTGAACTTCCCATGGTTGGTGATTCCCAGCCCTGGGATCTGTCCAGGTCTCCCTGCAGGGCCCCCTGTTGAGTTCAACAGCTCCTCCCAGTTTGGGGTCATCTGCAGACTTGCTCAGTGTCCCTTCCAGTCCTGGTTCCAAGTAATTTATGAAGATGTTGGAGAGCACAGGGCCCAAGATGGAGCCCTGTGGAACCCCCCTAGTGACAGGTCACAGTCCGATGTCACCCCAGTCACTGTCACCCTCTGTGCTCAAGCCCTGAGCCAATTGCTCACCCACCACACGATGTGTTTATCCAGCTGTGGGCTGGATAGTTTGTAATCAAAAGCACACGGGTATGTGAGTTGTTTCCCAACTAATGTTGTTATTTATCATTAACCTGATTTAACAGAGCTCCTTCCTATTTTATGCCCTAAATAAACTGTAAATTATTTTTCATGGGGGCTGCTGTACAGATCGAAATGCAGTAATTTGCTGCTGTTTAAGAGTTCCATCCTGGTATGTATTCTAAAATGGTGGTATTAATAACTTCTATTTCCATCTGAATAGTCTTATTTTTTAATAACCTACTACATATGGAGCATTGTCTACATTTGTTAACAAACATTTAAATATAGAAGGTATTAATTATTTCTCAGCTCCCTGAAACTCTTTTGACTTTAATCTACTGCCTTCTGGGCAGTGTGTTTCTGATTGTCCCTCTGAGTTACAATTTCATGACAGTGCCCCCAGCCTGAAGTGTGGAATAGGAATTCTGAAAATTCAAGCCTTTTAGATTACTTGACCATGAGTTGTTATGGTTTCCCTGATGGCTTTTGTTCAAAATTGCAAGCTGTATTACCCTCATTTTTATGCAGTGCAAGCTAAATGAGTTAGAACAAGGTCAAAATATAGAGTAGCTGTGTTATAGTGTAGAACAGCCTCGGCAAGGAAGAGGCAGACAGAAGATACTCAGATATTTGTATTATATTTTAGATCAGATTTCCTGCAGTCTTAGTTTATATCCCCAAATAATTAGTTGTCTAACTATAGAACTGCATGGCCCAAAAGTTTTTGTATCTGTATTTATAGTCTTGTTTGAGCAATATTTAAAAATGTCCGTGCCCTTGGGTAAAGTTTACTAGCAGGATGCTTTCTGAACTTCTGTTTTACAAGTAGATGAATATAAATACATGTGGTGTTGATGTTTGGGCATTGTTTATACTAGTTGTGTTTTGTTTTTTTTTCCTGTGGGTCTGATATTTTTTATTTTACTTTCAAGCTGTAGATTTCTGTAAGCCCATCAGGAAAATAGCTGTACTTTATAATTGGGTACACTATAATTTCCTTTCTGCAGGTTGGTGAGGATGGTCTTCAGATCTGTGTTGAGATATGTGGATGTGCCCTACAGCTGGACCTCCGTGAAGATCCCAACATGAAAAGTCTTATTTATAAAGCAATTGCTCATTTTCTGCCAAATGACTTGGAGATCCTCCGAATTTGTGCTCTTTCCATCTTTTTTCTGGAGCGCACCTTGGAATCTTACTACACTGTTGAACATTTATATAAATGTGCAGATGAAGAATACAATGAGTGCACTAGTTCTGTTCAAAACCGTGTGCGTTTTGAACTGCTTCCCATTTTGAAAAAGGGTTTGTTTTTTGATCCCGAGTTTTGGAATTTCTTGATGATCAAGCAGAATTGTTTGGCGTTGTTGGGGGATAAAGCCTTGGATGGCTTAAGTGAAAGTACACTGGAAAACTCAACTGCAAATCCAGAGAAAATAGCAGAGTACAGGGCTCTGAGTGAGGAATGTGTCTGTTTGACTGATGTGAGCAATGGGGAGCTCGACCCTGGAAACTGCTCTGGAGCCCGATCCAAAGGTAATGCCAAAAAGAACCATGAAGCTCTGGAGGCATCTAAAATGTTGAACGCGAGTGAACCCCGGCACCGCTGTGTGCTGTGCAACAAGGAATTTCTCGGTGATCACATCGTGAAACACGCACAAGCTCACCAGAAAAAGGGCAGTTTTTCCTGTGTACTTTGCACCAGAAAGTTCAGGCAAAAGGGACTGATGCTGAAGCACTTGAGGAATCATGTCAGGAAGATAGAAAGGCAACATCTTGCTGCAGTTCTTGAGGCTGATCAGCAGGCTCCTGCTCTTAAGGAATTAGGATGTTCTGATGTTTCTCTCCCTCTTGAAAATGGGAATTCCGATGGTTCCAAAGATACTGAACCAGGGGCTGCAATAGCTCCAAGTGCTGAGCAAGTGGTCCAAGAGGAGGATGAGAATGCAGAACAGGTTTTTGATGTGGTGGAAAACCATCTAAGTGACCAGGATGATGCTACTGAAAACAGTAGTGACAGCTGTTTTAATAATGTTCCTGATGCTTTAAGTACAGAGAGCTTGCCTGAAGATGATGAGAACTCCAGTAAAGAGTCACCTGTTCTGCATAAAGTGAATGGGGCTCTTTGCCCTCAAAAAGACCTCGATGCTTTGGATGAGGAAGGAACCTTTAAGTGCCCTGCTAATGGTTGTGCTAGAGTGTTTAAAAAGATAAGGTTCCTCAATAAACATGCAAGGAAAAGTCATCCAACTGATCTGAAGGTGCAGCAACATATAATGAAATGGAATAAAGGAAAGTGTCGGTTCTGCCAGAGAAAATTTGCTGATTCTCAACATTTTATAGACCACCTAAAGAGACATGTGTATCCAAATGTTTACTTTTGTTTACACTTTAATTGTAATCAGAGATTTAAGCTGTCAGCTGAGCTTGCAGAACATACAAAAAGTCATAGTGTGTTTAAAGCTCAGTGCAATTTTTCAGACTGCTGTGAGCTATTTGAGGAGCTCCCTTTGCTGTATGAACATGAGGCTCAGCATTATTTAAATAAAACCCCAGAATGTTTGGAAGATGCAAGTGAAAAAGATTCTTCAGATGATCCTTCAGAACTTTGTAGTTTCCAGGATGATGATGAATCTGTCAATGAAAAAGAAACTGTAGATTTACCAATTCCAACTTGGAAGTCAAGGAAGGATTCTACAGAACCAAAGACATATATTCAAAGTGTGGAGAAGAAAGCAAATAATGTAATTCACAATGGAAATGAAAGTTCATCTGAGGGTAGTACTACCATTTTAAGTTCCATAGACCAAAAGACACCTGTGTTACAGCCAAATTCTGAAAACTGTCATGTTGTTAGTGACCAACTAGTCAATGGGCACAGTGACCCACATCAGACGTCATCCAAGTCATCACAGACACCTTTGGACAGAGTGGCAGATGAAACAAGGACAGAAAATGGGTCAGTGTTACCAGTTTTACAGAATTGTCACGATGCACCACAAAATAATAATGCTGCTGCTGCTGCCTCACAAGTACCTTCTAAACCAAATCAGACAACAGAGACTACTTCATATGGTGTCATCTTAACAAAACCCTATGTCAGACCATTGCCTCCGAGTTACCTTGACGAACGTTACATTAGCATGCCAAAACGGAGAAAAATTTTGGCTGAGGAAGTAGATGCTTACTCTGAACAAGATAAAATTTGTAGCAAAACAACAGAAAGATTTAGATGTGGCAACTGCTTGACCATCTACTGTAATTCAGAAGCACTTGAGGCTCACCTTGCACAAAAGAAGTGTCAGACGCTCTTTGGATTCGATTCAGATGATGAAAGTAAGTCCTACAGTCCTTCTGAGTTGGTTTCTTTGGGGGTAAATACCAATCAGAAAATGGTCTTTGAAATCAGACAGCCTGATGGAATAGATATGGTAGAACTTAGACAGCTAAATCAGAATACTTGGTTAAATTGGGCTTTTAAATGGACGTGCTGTTTAGAACAAGAAAGAGGTGATGAGAATTTGTAAGCAGCTCTGATGGAAAAGCCTTCTCCTCAAACAGAAGGGGTAATTCAGTCTGACTTTCCTTGCATGTTTGAAACTAAACATGTTGAAAAGCATAAGCAGTGTTCTAGGTTAAAGAATGAGTTACTTTTTGACCCCAATGCATTCTCTTTTACAGGTGCCTGATTCAATGTTGTGGAGGAAAGTATCAGATAAGGAGTGGTGTAAGGAAACACTACATGAAGAAGCATCAGTTCGTTTCCCAGTTGGCCTTAAACATGAAGCAGTCTCAAATTACTAGAGAGAAACATGACCTTGATAAAGACAAAGCACATTTTCTAGACAAAACTCACAGAGGAGTAATAGGAGCTCTGCAGGTCTTGAGTCCAGAAAGGTTGCTACAAAATCCCCAAAGTACCAGTCCTCTGAAAAGCCATGTTCATTCCAAATAGATGATTGAAGGTGAATGGCACAGCCTTTCTAGCAGGAAGGTTTAAGGAAAATAAGGCAGGCAGAGGAAGCAGAGATGTTAATTGCCTTGTGGAAAACCAGCCAATTCTGAAAGCTGCTTTAGTTTGTGTCATTAAAGGGGTGTCTGTCCACACAGCTGGGAAGGAATCATTCCAGAAGGTGTTAATTATTGTACTATGGATAAGAAATGCATAGAGGAACCATGCATTCTTTTTTCAAAACTCAAGTGTGTGAGTCCATTATCTGCTCAAAAGCATGGAGCTCATTTAATAAACTTATACTCAGAATCCAAAGAGGAACGTGGAAAGAAATCTTAAGATAGATGGAATGCTGGAATAGCCAAAAACTCAAAATACAGCACATGCAAGGAAAAGTGAGTTGATGTGATGTAAAACTTAAACACAGTGGAAATCAGATGCAATGCAAGAGAAGCCCTTTGCAAGGATAAGGTGAAGGTGTAGGTAAAGAGCGTCCTGTGAAACATCTGTTGTAGGTGTGGGAAGGCCAATCCAAGCAGTACATGCACAGATCCATGTGGATTTTAACAGGAACTGATTGAAACAAATGCAGAATGTTGAGGAGGTTAAACTTGCATTACAGAGCAGAGTTTATTATTATGCAAATACAGAGGTCCCTCAGCTGTTGGTGTAACTGAAAAGAATTTGAGAAGGCAGACAAAAGCAGAGCACAGGTTGGAGGGGAAAAAAGGTCAGGAAGAGCCTGTTTTACATGTGTGATAAATGGTGGTAGGCCACAACTCAGTACTGTAACTACTTATTTACTGTCTAGAGGAAGGGAGAAAATAGGTTTGGATTCAATCTCTTTAAGACACATTGTAACTTTATTTAGTCATCATCATGGCTGGGCTTCGCGAACGAAGATTTGGGAAGGCTATATCCACATTTGTTACAGGCACGCTGGTGGCTTATGAGGCCAATATGAGATAGACATATCTGATTGCAAAAGGCACAGCAGAAAGACTCCTTAGATGGTGTATTCTGCAGAACACGGTTCTTTCTGCATTGCCTTTTCTCCTCGAGAGTGATCCTGCGTGTGTTCTCAAAGGAGACAGCTGCGTTATAGATGGTGTGTCTCCAGACCTCCCGATTGGAGGCCAGAGTAGACCAGTTATGGTGATCAATATGGCCAAGGCCGAGATGTTGTTTCAGGAAGTCCTTGTATCTTTTCTTTGAGGGCTCCTCTCTTGTGGCAGCCGGTGGCAAGTTCACCATAAAGCAAGATCTTAGGGAGGGGGTGGTTGGTCCTTCATCCTGGAGACGTGCCCTGCCCAGCGCAGCTGTGTTCTCATCAACATGGCCTCAATACTTGTGACTGCTGCTTGTTCTAGAACAGATGTGTTGGTCACATAATCTGACCAGGGGATGTTTAAGATTGTTCGGAGGCAGCGTTGATGGAAGCGTTACTTTATTTAGTAGCATCCCTTGAAAAGAGCCTTTCCCAGCAGTTGGTGAAGGAGTTACTGAAATGTTAAGCACTTTATTCGAAGTTCACTGTTCATAGAAACAATCAGAATGTGAAGACATGAAGTGTGAGTCTTTCAGCTCTATGTGTAACACTGAAATAGAGAACATTTGGGAACCAAAAGGATGCCCTTGTAGTTTTTGGTCTTCCCACCCCAGGCAGAGGTGTGGCAAACACACACATTGCCCAATTACTGTGCTAATTTCTCCTCTCATTTATCTCACACTGTCTTACCACCTGACAAGTTTTTATTTGGGATCCTGTTCTATGCGGGTAAAATTTTAATGTGATTGTAGGCAGGGGAGGGATAGTGGTGATAGTGGTGTTCAGGGATGGAGTCTTCACAGAAATGTGGGATGGCAAAGCCCAACTGCTCCTGCTCAGCTGGTTTATTTATGGAATAGTTCATCACAGTGTGTGTAGGGCTTAAATCAACAGATAGGGAAAAACTAACGCATAAAAAATCAAGAGGTGCATACAACCTGTTCACTGTAGCAGTGGCTCATGCTTGCAAAGCCAAGGGTGTTGTAAGATAGGCTGTGAAGTAGTTCTGGAAAACTCAATAGCTCAGCAATGCCTCTGCTAATAACCCTCTGTGAAAGTAAACAGATTTGCATTCCTTCTGCTTTGTTTTCCCCTCCTGGGAGGTAAAAAGAATGCAAATTCAAAAACTTAACTCTTGAACTCTAGGAAATTTTTGCCTTAACTTTGAGTTGAATTAACAGAAAAGGTTATAAAATTATGATCACAGGTATGTGTGCATTACATCAATACTGATCATGGCCCACTTTCAGAGATTTGTATGACGTTTGAGGCACCAAAGAAATTTTTTTTGCAGTTGCAAAAAACCTGATTTAAATGCATCGTTCGTTATATATACATATATACACACAATATATATATATTTACATATATAAATACATTAAAAGTTTGTTTTAAATTTAAAGAGGTCCTTATCAGACAAATGCACTTTGACCTTTTTTGCTTTCAAGTTACCAACTAATTTTTAAGGACCCAGTTTTCATGTTGAATGTTCCCAGGCTCCCCTTTCTTTGCTTAACTTTGTTAATCTAGTTAAATTTGCTTAAATATATTTGGGGGGGGGAAAAGGTTAATTTTAAAGTATTACAGTTCTAAAAATCTGAAAACCGAGTCAGTAGATATGACAAAAATGTTTGCGTAAAATCTTTTCAATGTACCTTTAATCTTTGGTGCTTTTTTGCCTTTTCCCTGGAGCTCCATGTGTTTGAAGATGCTTTAAAATCACGATTGAGACTTGTATTTTCTTTGGTTTTAAGTGTGTAGATAAAGGCATCTGTGTACATGCATAAACTGTGACCATAATTTTTTGTACCTGCATTAAACTCATTTTTGTTCAGAGATGCTTTTCTTGGACACCACCATTTGTTGATGTCATGTGTTCAGTAGATACACTCTGGAGAACAGGAAACATGAATTCTTCTGTAGGTGAAAATTAGCAAAAAATCCGAACACTTACCAGAAATACGGTAAGTGTAAATTAAATTGACCTAAGGTAGCAAGTGGGTGGTAACATTTTTAAGTCATGATTTTTACTTCAGAAGACATTGCATTTTCTTTAAGCTCCTCTCTGATACCTGTTGGTATTCTGATATAGTTGCAGTTTAAGCAACTTGAATCAGAAGGAAAAGGGTACTTGTGTAATGTGTGTGGGATAATTCACCATGCTTTTTAAGGATTCTTTAGTACGTTGAGTATTACCCTGTACTAAGCCTGCAACTTCTAGGGCTGAAAAAGGCTACAAATCTAGATCTGAAAGTTGTTTTTTTCCCAAGCATTAAGAAGCATTGTATGATATAATTGGAAATCCTTCAAGATGTATCACTTTGATTCAATAAATACTAAAATCCATGTGTAATGTAAGCCTGCAACTCCCTTAAAACTGCCTGAAGTTACACATGAGCTTGGGAGCTTTGTTGGATCAAAGTTTGTGCATTTGTTGTGGATAATTGTGTTCCAATAACATTCCTCCAGTTGGCTGTAACTTGGATTTGGACTTTCCTTTTAAGACTCTTCTCTAACCTGATCATGTTTCACTGTAAAGGTCATGGAAGTTCTAACTTCAAAGAGTTGCCATTTGGTGGGCACCTTTCACAAAAAAAAGGAATACTGAAATTAGGTTGAAAGTGGTGATATCTGTGGGGAAAGGTCACTGGTACTTTGGTTATTTAGCCATATTCATTAAAATTATATAAATTGTATAGTTTGGATAATTTATAACATTAAACTTTGTGATTTTAATATCACATTGAAGGTTCAGCTGTACTCATTTCTTTTATTGTTTAACACCAGTGCTATGGACAAAAGACCCAAAGAGGGTGGTAGTGTTACTATTTTCTTAATTTATTTGGTACTGTATAACACCTTTCTGATTAAATGCAGTGTATGCATTTTGGGACTCTTAATTTGTAAAAGATGTTACAGGTTCAGCAAGAAAGGAAATTTGTGCTTCCTTGTTGAATGTTAAATTATTTTACTTTGCATTTTATATAAGAGTACAAATTAAAACTGAGCCATCAAACTGCAATAAATCTACAGTAGTGTTTCATTTTAAAAACCTTTTTGTACTGTACATAGATTTGTTCAATAAAACATTGTCTTTGTTGTTGATAGAAATTGATCTTGTCTTTTGGAGAATGCCTCTGAAAATGCTGCTGCGACCTTCATAGCTGCTGTGATGTGTTTGGTATGGGAGAGTTGAGTGCCAGGTCTTGACCTTCCAGAGGTGTGGATATTTGCATTTGAATAAACTAAACTTCAAAATAGGGGTGTGGAGGGGGCAGTTAACTGCTAAAGTGGTTTCCTGGGGCTCAAAACCCAAACAGGGCCACAGACAAGTCTGGATGCAGCTGTTTTAAGATCCCTCTGCTTCTGGTTAATTATCTTCATCATAAAATTGTTCAAGTTCTTCAGCGACCTTATATTACAAGTGTGTAAGGAGGCCACATTTTGGTGCCAAAGCTGCCTGTAATTTCAAAACCAGGAAGACTTACTGTATTCTGTAAAGACACACAGACCATCACCTGCAGATTCAAGTTAAAATCAGTGATGATGTTATTGCACAAACCACCGAACTCATCACTGGGGTGGGCTCTGTTCAGATCTGTAGCAACAAATGCCTGCCCTCAAGATCATGTAAACCTAAGACAGAACACTTACATGAACAGAGAACACATTCCTACACCCATACTACCCATATGCTTTACATGCTTATGTCCTCTTTGAGATCTAAAAACAGTCCCTGCAGATCTCCAGGTTCATCAGAAGGAAAACCAACACACATCCAGCTTGAGGAACAGCTGCTGTCTTGAGCTGGAGCAATGAATTCCAAATAAACCAGAAACAGCTGACCCAATTTTGCCCATGAATTGCAAGTCCAACATTCAGATAAAAACTGAGTCCTAAAGCATCTGGAAAGATTGAACATAATAATGCTTACTGTCTGCTGGGCAAAATTATATTCCATACATCCAGTGACTTGCGCACTCTTCATGTACAAGACAGACCTCCCACCACAACATGTAGTGCATCATTCTACTTATCTGTGGAGTTTACAGAGCAAAATCCTCAAAAATGGGACTACCTACGTGTCACCATGTTAATTGAGCTGTTGAAATTCTGAATTTATTAATCTCAATCCTGCAAACGAAAAATTAGAAAATGCATCTGAAAAATATAAATTCGTTTTGCTCGTATTTCAACAAACCTTTTTAGATTTGCAGCCTTCAAGGGAATAATATCTTGTTTTAAATCAAGGCCAGCCCTTTCAGCAGGATTATACATGCACTTTGCAAGTGCTTCCCCTTTGGAGGTGGTGGTGGGAGAAAGGGAATTATTTCAGAAGTAGGTGTTTTGTTTTTTTCCTTTCTCACAACTTGGAATTTCCTACAGTTTTTATACAAACTTTTAATTGACTTGAGCATTGAGCAAGAATTTAAACTAGCATTCCTAAAGGGGAAGAAACAGGAAAATTATTAGCCTATATGAACCTAAAGGTGAATAGAATTCTTGGAATATTAAACTGCTGTCTTAATTCAAGGAGTCATTACAAAGGATCCTCTTGACCCACCAGATTTTTTTTACATTTTCTCTCTCCTGTTCAGTTGAGCAAGTGGATGATAGAGCAGCTTTGGTGTCAAGTCATGGTCAAATCACCACAATTCCTTCAAACACTAAGCAAAATAAATAAGAAATTACAATACAAGCAAACACATAATACATTTTAGTGCCATCTGTAGAAGTAGCTGTTTTGTAGGTGGGCAGAGTCATAAACTATATCAATGTAAAGGATATTTACATACTTAAAATGACACTGGCCAATGCATTATCTGACTCTACCACTGCAATCCTACACTAAATTTTTCAGAAAGTTAGCTTACAATAATAATGTTGGTTATGCTGAGAGCCAAAGGTGACAGGTATGGCCTGAAATACATAAATTATAAATAAATACTGTCAAAATAGACAACAGCAGGTGGTAACCATATGATGGACATTCAGTTTCACTGTACCTCCCACTCAACTACATTTCATAACCTTTATACCTATTTATATAAATATACTTACAAATTGATATTTATGTATTTTATACCTGTCATAATCCCTCAGTCACAAGTGGATGATTTGCTCGATGCCACAGGGGCTGCATCTCAGATATTCAAAAATGAGTTGGTCCAGCGACCACCATAGAAGCTTGAAGCTTCTCAGTTGACTTCCAAAGGCTGTTTCCACCACGAGCATCTGCCTGGACCACAGCAGGCACACTGAGCCATTCCCGAGGATCTGGCGCACAGCTGGATCCTGCTGGAGGCCTTGTTTGTAGGAGTCCTCCAACTCCAGGCACACCCTGACAAGACTGGGTGTGTGGGCTCTGCATCAACGATGGGAAACC